AGAGAGAGAGAGAGAGAGAGAGAGAGAGAGAGATGAGGAGAGGATATTGAACTGTTCATTCATGAATAAATCCGTACACTTGTAACGGTGTAACAATCGAGTTAGCTGGAGTCGCTGGTGACAATTTGACTTTCTTTCCTAATATGCCTTTGTTAGGTCTTGCGGGCATGCCACGCCGCATTCCGGATCATCCAGCCGCTTATGTCGTGGATGGAATGCACTGTGCGTAGTTCTCGTTCTTATCTTTCTGTTACAGAAATTTTAGTTTTTTTCTGTGGTTGTTTATCTCGCTTTGACCAGTGACGTGGGCGCTCTGCAAGTGCCTTGGGCAGTTGAGTGTGGATTTCTTGACTGAGGATTTCTTGATTGATTTTGCCTGTAATCAATCAAGAAATCCACAAGGTGATTTGGCCAAATACACATCAAGATGAGTCCCTGGTGTGAGCATGCCCTCCGTGCACACTTGTAAACCTAATGCTAATGCTAGCCCAACCGAACTAGGCAGGGCCACATCACCTTTGCCACATAGCACACAAGAACTAGATTCCAGTAGATGGTGAAAAGGTACAGGTTTCGCCTTTTTATTTTTAAGGTTTCGCTTGACGCCTGATGCTCTCAATCCCAAACGTCAAATCATTCTGAAGAACCAGTAAGGGGGCAAAGTACCGTGATACAACCATCTGAACTGCTTTTTTTTTTTTTTTTTTTTTAGACCCCCCCCCTCCCCCCCCCCCCCCCCCCCCCACACCCCCACCCCCAAAAAAAAGGGATAAAAGCCCATGCCTGATGGAGGCTCAGCCACTTGGCTGGCTCCAATCTTTTTCTTTTTACTTTTATAATACTTTCAAACGTGTTCATCTGACTGAAATATCATTGTATCTAGAATCTAGATTCGAACTTGAGCGTGTATTTGGACAGTTCATGGATGTACCAACTGAGGTAGGCAAGTCGGTGGCTGGCTCCAATCTTTGTCTTTATTCATGTCGCGCATCACATGCTGGGAAACGGGCCCAGCGTCCATTTCAACTGTCTCAGGTAGAGGGTTAATAACTTAATACTAGTTAATAGTCAATGGTGGGGAACAAAAAAGGAGGTTTGATCGAATCGAGGAATTTTCTTTGTTTTAGTAATAGCTCCATAACCTCTTCACGTCATTGCAGGGAAGAAGGGATCACCTTTGCTCTGAGGAAGTCTAAAGTCTCTGGCACACCCTCAATCAACTTGTCTCCCTTCCAAATGACACCTGCCATACATAAAAAGAGAGAACACTGACAAAAAGAATGAGTGTGTGTGTGTGTGTTTCAAAAAACCCAAACTCTCTCTCTCTCTCTCTCTCTCTCTCTCTCTCTCTCTCTCTCTCTCTCTCTCTCTCTCTCTCTCTCTCTCTCTCTCT